CTTGTAGCAGTGAAGCCTCTGCAGCGGACACGCTTTCCGGGCAGGAAGGGTGCCCATCCGGTGATAGCCATTGCTGAAAAGGCAAGATGCAAATGAGTCGGCCACTGGCTAGCAGCTAGCGCAAAAATCAGACCACTTCAGGCCCATGGCGACAGTCTGGGTCCCAGCGAGCCAGTTTGACACTTGAGCAACTTCCCGGCGTTGCTTATTATCGAAGCACGCTAAGGCCGGAGAGGGAGTGCGCACTCGTCTCAGCCCAGCCATGAGTCTGGTGCGGCCATGTGCTTAGATCTTGCCACCCTCTCTTCCTCTCTCTTTCCCAATCCCTCTCTTTATTGTTCACTTTCCTCTCTGGCTGTCTGGCTCTCTCCATCTCCCTCTCTCTCTCTCTCTCTCTCTTTGTCTAGGTATCTCTCTGTCTGTCCGTCTTTCTGTCTTTCTTTCATTTTCTCTTTCTCAAGTGTGGAAATGTGGATGTAGATGATCAGAGTGTAAATAGCCGTGGCCATGGCAGTGCTGGTATCGGGCTGTTGACTGAACTCAGTCGCCCATCAAAGTGTGCCTTTGCTCTGTCTTTCGGTTTTGGACTGGTTCCTGCCACACGAGGTTTCATCTCTGTTGGCGCACGCTTGGCACAATTGCATGGAGACCGAACGCGAAGGCATACTTCGGCTGAGCTTTTGTATTGCCTGCCCAGGTTGCCTGTGAGGAGAAGGCCAGATTTTGGCTTTGTCTAATGTGCATGCAAACACCTCTCGACTTGCGCGGGTTTGCTTGGTACCCTCTTGTATTGCTTCGTCTCTGCTCGACGACAGGTGCGGGGTGCCGGCGATGCAACAGCTTCCTCGCTAGGGCCGTCAGGTGCGGCGGCCACCTTGCCATGCCTGCGCGGCAGCAGCAGTGCGGTTCTTATGCACTGATTTACACTGTGTACGGTGGATTGTTGCAATGAGAGTCATCGGGTCGACAGTCAGGCCCTGGGCAAAGCAGAGGGCTTACACGCTCCAAAACGTGCGAGCTTTGGAAAGAGAGGCCTTCGAGATGCCGTTTGTGCTGGCTGTCGAAGCTGAAGTGTGGCTGCAGGTTTCAGAAAAGCCAAACATTTTCGGAGGCGGGCAGTTTCCCAACAGATTGCTGCTTCCTGCTGATGCCTTCTCAGGTGCTCGAGCAAAAAGCACTAAGGAAACAGCAGCCAGCCTCCAAGCGGCCTTGTTGACGGTTCGCGGGGCTGCCCAAAGAGTCAGAGGAATTTGCCCAATTCCCAGGCAGCAGGATCGACATCTGGAGGCAGCTTGAATATGACCAGCACTCCGCCAAGAGCGGGGTTGCAGCAGCCCTGCTTGAGAGGAAAGCCGGCGCCGCATCGCAGCGATCAACAAGCAGGTCATGATGAGGCAGCGGAATCAGCGGAGCTGCAAGCACGTCGTCAACGCTCGGCGGCAGGGCTGCCGACCGAAGCAAGAAGTGGAAGGAGCGCAACGATGCCGCAGCTTCGAGGCGGGGACGAGGCAGAGGCGAAAGGCGCTCTCCGAAGCCCGGGCCTGCAGGCGCCAGATGAAGTCCGTCGCCTCCGATGCGGACATGGTTGCAAAGCTCGTGGGCCTCACAGTTTCCGTCCTGGGATATGCTGGGACTGCCACCTTTTCCCGAACGGGCGCATGAGGCCAAACCCAAATTAAGCTCTAAGTCTCTAAGTCATTGTCAGCCACAGCCAAGCACTCTGTGCACCGCGTCTGTTGAACACGTCGGCAATGATGTCACGCAGGATCATGAAGAAACAGCAGTTTAACAACAAAGACCAAGAGCTGCAGTACTACAACGACAACACAAGTCTGGAGAACACACTCGCTTCTAGACTCTAGTGTGTGGACATGTCATGACGAGTTGCTGAACCTTAGGCCACCTTAGGCCGCCTTAGGCGCTTCTGAGCCGAGGCCGCCGGCGCCCAGCGGAAAGCGGCTCTGGAGCGCTGCGATGCGCTGCGATGCGCTGAGGCTCAGAAGTTGCGGTGCCATACGCTGGCTTCAGGAGCAGCAGCGAGGCGAGGAGCTTGCCGAGGCGCAGAAACTTCAGCCATGTAATGGGCCGTGACGCACGATTTGCATCTGCACCCTTTGAGGCAAGCGCTTCCAAGTCGGCACAGATTCAGAGCGCTCAGGCACCGAAGACGCCGTGACTGCAGTTCCCTGGCCCTCTGCAGTAGCCGTGACTGCCTCCTTGTATTTCTTGCGGTGGGAGCAGGCTCATGCAGCTCATCTGTTGGACAAGACAGAGAAGGTCTGAGACTGGCTACCCGAAGCTGGGCAGTCCTGTGGAGCGACAGGAACTCATCTCGAAAGTGCAGCACCGGGACCAGATGTCGTCAACTCAGTTGCTTCTTTTGTATGGAAGCCGTGACCACATTCCAAACAGTGCTGTCTTTTCTGGGCAGGGTGGCAGAGCGACATGCCATGAGGCTGCAGGCACACGGCTTTGCATAGTCTTGCCAAGAGCATATCAGACTGATGTTGCCGATGTGGCATGCATGGTGTGGGAAGGCTTTTTTTGTCGAATCGGCAATGTTGCGTCTGCTTTATCCAGCTCCAATCAACCAGAGCTGGCACACCAAACCTGGTGTCCCTAAAAACTGAAGGGCTTCTCGTTCTTTGCAAGGTGCTGTTCCGGGTGAACCCGAGAGAGCATGCACGAGAGAGGTCATGCTCGAAATGTGCCAGTTTGTTGATATTGTTGAGTGGGTCTGTCATATTTCACCTTCGCAGTCTGAGCGTGCCGTTGCAAATCTTGCCTCACCGGACTTCCTGCGCTGACACATATCTCCTTCTGCCTGTAGTCAACGATGTCATTTGTGCTGTGCTGGCTCTATAGTGTCATTCTCTGCCTTTCGGAAATCAGGAGTTCGCTGCGCGAGCAGATACTGGTGGACCTTACCAAGAACAGGCCACGAATCTGCCGTGTCTGTTCGTTTTGTGTTTCTGTGGCATTGTACGGACACGATTGTGGCACGAGACCGTTGCATGTCCGTCATTGATGCGTGAGTCAAGTCTTGTTGGAGCTGCACGTGCAATGACACGAGTGAGCAGGCAGAAAGCGCAAAGAGCCGGAAGAAAGAACTTGAGGAGGCAGAGGGCCTCTGCTGCGTCGCTATGCCAATACCGGAAGCTACTTTGCAGGAGTTCCGTCTAAAAGCTATGAAAGAGATGGAAATGCACCCCTGGCCTGTCTTCCGTTTAGGCATCTCTGCTTTACAGCGATTGTCCAGTTCGTGTTACGTATCAGGAAGTCAAGTCGACACAGAGGCGATTCTGGGCCTGTCAGAGGCTCAGCATCTTGGTCACCGAGTGAAGTGCAAAGCATCATCAGAGCATCAACGCTTGTGGAATCGGCGGCCATTTTCATACCTTTGCGGCCAGAGGTACTCGAGCGTCAGCGTACTCTGAAGAAGGTTTGACCAGCTGCTTTTCCGTACGGTGTGGGGCTGCTGCAATGCTTGGTTAGACTTGCAAGCTGTGTTTACCTTCTGAATCATGCAGTTGCACTGCTCCTGCCAGACGCGAACATTTCAGCGACAGCCAACCGAGCTTCCTCCAGGCCGTGCCTTCGATACCTTGTCCTGAACAGCCGACCCCTCTCAAAGGTAGCCAGACTCCCCATTTCTGCCCATTCCTGTGTGATTCAGATGCTTCATCTTCAGCTCATTTGCGCATGCAGGGCTGGCTTTCAGTACCGAGCACCTGCACAAAGTCGATGATTGTGTTTGCGGTTGAGTGGGTGCGATGCATGCAAGTCAGTGTTTGCTTGCTCCCTGGCAGATTTGCCATTTCCGACATCCTTGGATTTCCCAGGCCAGGCATGCACGGGGCTGTAACTCATCTCCGGGCACAGACTCACGCCGTCTCATCTGGCAGTTGAGCTGCCAGCCGTGGAGCTGCCTGCAGCGGCCCACGTCCCAGAATTGCTCTGACTTCCTTGTGGTGCTCTGCGGCTAGGCCAAGGCCAGTGCGTCACTGGGCCTTCCGCTTACGCTGGAGGCCGGGGGAGTCTTTGCTTCTTTGCCGAAGTCAACTGCCACCTTGAGAGCATCTTGAGAGCCAACTGAGCCATCAGCTTTGCGAGTCACGGAGCTCTGACCGCGCAAGCGGCGCAAGCCCAAGCCAGAACACCCGCGGCAACCTCCTCAGTCATGCCCAAAGTTTTCAGTGCTCGCGTGTGCAGAAATTACTTGCATTGCCAAGGCAGCCGTGTGTCTGTCGCATCAGCTGCGGATAGCATGGTATCTGTGGATGATGAAGATGTGGAGAAAAACCTTCTCAAGGCGCCACAGGGTGTCTCACGATGGCCTTCATTCGCGGATGCAAGCTGCCGAGCCAAGGATTTGGAGCAGAGAAGCTCCAACTGGATGAAGGAGATGAGGCAAACCAGCCTTCGACGGCTTCTTGAGCTTTTTGCTGTTCAGTCCTTATCTTCCGGTCTCGGCACTTGGTGGTGGCAGGCGCCAGAAAGAATCCCGAAAGAAGATTGCCTAAGCGGGCAATTACAGCCACGGCTCAGATGTTGGCATCACTGCACGTGCGTTGAGTGCGGTTTCACGTTCACCTCCAACCCCAAATGGGGCACGAGGTGCCGCATTAGCACCCGACCCTAAGTGGGCTCGCTCATTAGCTTGACTGGCCTTGGAGCCTGGCAAGTTGTGACAGGACATGACAGGACAAAAAGTCCGTGGCTGAACCAGGGTGACACAATATAGAGACCATCGGAGTTGCCAAAGGTTAGACATCCACTTCGTGCTCGTTTTAGATACGTTTCACATTGGCATCCAGTGGCCATCCTTGCGCCGGGCACGTTCGCTCAAGTTGTGGGCTGAACTTATCCCATAGCCTGCACTCCTTCACTCCTTACCCGCAAACCGAACCTGTGCCTCGGCTGGAGTTATGATGGGCTTGAGACAGCTTTGAGCACTTGGTGGTGGAGTGCTACTGATGGAGTCAGGTACTAATGCTGTCATGCCGTCACTTCACAGCCACGTGCTCAGAGCCCTGTGAAGTGTGGTGAGGTGTCAGTGCAGTTAGCATCAAGTACCTGGGCACAGACGATGTTTCGCAAAATCATGCACTTGGTTCCGCGGGTTCCAGAACGAGACCTTACCCATCCTTTCCCAGAGCAAACTGTATTCGACGAAACCGGAAATTGTTCTGACATGCTGAGATCTCTCTCTCTCTCTCTCTCTCTCTCTCTCTCTCTCTCTCTCTCTTAGCAGCAGTGTCCTGTCCCCAGCTCCAGACAACTGCGTTCGGTAAGGGACTTCCCTACCTCGTGACTCCACACGTCGCTTGCATCATGCTTCAAATGTCCAGATGGATGCTATGATTCGCGATGCAGACACATGGGTGAGCAGTGCATGTGCTTCCCACTCTAAAGCTTCCTCATCAGCTTAAAGGCCCAGCCTCGCAAAAGCTTGGGCAAATTGGGCACACGCGGCAAGGCAGGCCTTGGGCTGGCTCCCACCTGGACTCTTGCACTGCACTTCTATTCCACTCCATGTTGTAACATGAACTCCTGCCCAGTCCGCATGTTGAGCTGTTGTCCCTGGCTTGGGCGCAATCGAGTTTGGTAGCGATGGCGGACCGAGGTGTCTCGACACATGACGATACTGCTTTTCTTAAGGGGTTGGTGTGAGGTGTGTGTTTTTCTGGTTTGCAAACAACTCGGTTGGCGTATGAGTCTCCACGCCAAGTCGCGCCAGGCACGTCAAGAGAATTCGATGAACCTGACCGCACCATCTACTGCAGCATCTCCGTGGGGGCTTGTGCAATTGAATTTCTTATTCCGCTGCACTCCGGTGGTCCGGGCAAGGTGAGCTCTCCGCCATGGGATCGGAACTGGGTCGTGTCACGAACAGCTCCAATGCACAGTGCCGGCACAAAACATTTGGAGCCTGCTTGCTCCCCAAACGAACGTCTCGCAGCAGCCAAATCAAACACCAGAGCAAATGGATCGAACGTGGAAACCGTGTCGCTGGACCGATGCGGGCTGAAGGTCAAGCATTACTTTCGTTGTTGATGTTTTTCGCCAGCCGTCACGGGCCTAGGGTCTAGTGACATTGCATAGCTGTGTCGCTGTTGCAGTCTTTCGGGCTTGCTGAAAGGCGTGGAGGTGCGTACAATGCTGCTGCTCTCGGCGAGCTTGGCAGCAGTATGCCCAGCGGGCTCTTTTTGTTATCTTGATCAGTGGTCTGCCTGGGCAGTTCAACGACATGATGAGTCTGCAGGGTCTACATTTGAATTAACAGCAGAATAAGGTGACCTCGTGCCTGGAGCTTCTGCAACTCCTCCTTCTTGCCATCTGCTGTCTAGCATATATCTTGTGAGCGTCTCAGCTGATGCCACCGGCTGACTCCCAGTCCGCGGATTTGAACCCGTGAGGTTCATAAACTGCAGGACAAGGCTCCGCCTGAGGCGCACAGTCGCAGAATCACCGGCTGCTCCAGGTATCTAATCTAATCGATGGCCACCTGGAATCTAAGTAGAAGAGTGAGTGAGTGAGTGAGAGAGAGAGAGAGAGAGTAGCCATTTTGGCTCAAGTACTACACCTGTCCTTGGGGGTGTTGTTCCACCCTCTTGTGCCGGGGGACGAGGCAGAGAGTTGACCTGGGCTGTGCCCCCAGGCTGTCTTGTCCTGTGGTGCTTGAGCACATATCCGCAGCCGAGTTGCTTAAGCTAAAGCCCGAGCCCTTTCTTTCTCTCTCCTGAACCTGAACGAGGCCCTTCTTCGGAAGGTGGCCCTCTAGTAGGGGGACGGAGCATACTTTGTGACTGTGGACCTGTGGGTGATCTTTCTCGACTACGACAGCCTGTGGGAGATCGATGGCGAGCTCTTCGAAAGGTTCCGTGAGGGTGGGACAGCAGAGATCTCCCGATGCCAAGCCACCCAAAGTCAAAACGACGTGGGAGGAACAGTGCAAGCTCGCAGAACGACTTCGAGAAATGGGGGTGACATGCAAGGCTTGCTTACAGGGGCCTTGGTACCACAAACCCCACGATGGGGGGAGGAGCTGTTACAAATATATGCTTGCAGCCGGGACCGCCAGCAGCCCTGCCAGCATCAAGGACATGAGAAAAGAGGGGGAGAGCCCAGCTGCCCGAGCAATGTCCGAACCGCTGGGGGGAATAGCCCAGACAATGGCGAGCAGGAGCCGGCCTCTTGCTGAATATGTGCGCTGTGAGACAAAGGAGGGGACGGTCCTCTTGTACGAACCTCACCCGCTGGACAGCTGGATTAACAGAGAGTGTGCGTGGGACAGCAAGAAGCAGGTATATATGGACCTCGCCACGGGGGACAAAGTCACAGATGCCGAGAGCGAGTACTACCAGAGATACCTCCAACGCCATAAAGAACGGAGAGCAGCGGCATGGGGGGGAGACCGCCCAGACTGCCGTGCTGCAAAAGGACCCCAAGTCGGTGAAAGACAAAAAAGACAAGCAACGGAGCAAGGAGGGGAAGCCGGACAAAAAGCACCGCAAGAAAGCCAAGGAGGGGAAGACGACCAAGGAGAAGCACAGCAAGAAGAAAGCCAAGCACGACACCACGGAGGGGAAAGACCTACCTGATGCAACCGTTGCCGTTGAGCCAGCAGAGAAGACGTCAGCGGGGGACGCAGGGTACGAGGTCGACTGGGGAGGCAGCGATGTTGAAGACAAGCAACCAACCACAACCTTCCCGCATGATGTGGGGGGGAACCGTGATGACGACGACAACCCCATTACCTCAGACACACTGTCGCAAGAGATGAGTTGGCCATGGGGGGAGCGAGGGCGCCCATCGGACACCGCCAGCCCTGATTCGGCGGGCGCAAGGAGGCCTCGTACACCGAGTCGCAGCCCCCGGAGGAGGGGGACAGACCTATGGCGCGCCATACAGACGGTGCAACGGCATATGAAGAATGCTCGCACGAAGTGAGGAAGACCAGCAAGTGAGAGGCATGCGAAAAATTCGGGGGAGATCGAATGTACGGGCTGTTGGCATGTTACATGGTTTGATTGCTTGTTTGACCTTGGTGCAGCCACCGTACATTCGTTGATACCCAGTGACGTCACTAGTCTAAGCCCAGGGGGAATCCACCCAGTACTCGTCCTGCACGTTTGTCTTTTTGCAGTGTTGCTTTGCATCGGGGGACCCCAAAACATGAACAATGCACTTTCGTACTACCCGTGTTACAGTCCTGATCCTCAAGGTGTGAATTCTTTAAACAGGGCTGGGGGGAGTCTTCAACCCCCTCAGTCCTTCTCAGGCAAACCCATTCCGTTGAGCCCACATTGGCTCGTAATCCTAGCTTCTTTTTAACACACCTGCTTGAGGGGAAATGTACTAGGAATTCGGGGGAACAAGAAGGCCCAAATTCGAAGCCACACCAACCTTGAAGTTGCATGAGGAGACTCCGCATGTTTTTCCTTCGCCCCCTTTTCAAACCAAGCCTGCCCGAACTCGGGGGATGCAGCTATGTACATGTTTTTCTTGGTCGCGGCCTTACTTTTAGTCTTTGTTGTTTTCTGCTGCGCCCCTAGGGCACCAAGACTGAGACTCTCCAGTGCAAAGGGCAAGTCCTGTAAAGCCGAGCCCCCTGCGGTGAATCCGTAGGGGGACAAAGCCGCCAGGGAACCGCGGGTGCGCGCTCGCGCGCGGAGGGGGCAGCCGGACCGCTGCTGGAGAGAGAGAGAGAGAGAGAGTGAGTGCGTGCGGTTTTGTTTGACTTGAGAAGGTTCCCGGTCTCTCTGTTGGAGCTCTACTGGTTTTTGGTTTGGAAGAACAGGGAGCCTCTGAGCCTGGAGTGATGCCCGACAACGCTGCTTTGAACTCAGCCTTTTCTTAACGGTGTTTGATGACCTTGTTGGAACGGTGTCCCAGCTGAGCCTAGGGGAGCATTCACCCTACTGATGTGGCTGCTGTATACTTTCTTATCTCTTTGTGCAGTTTGCCTTGTTGCTTCTCATGCAGAATGGTTACCTTCGCAGCCCGTACCCTTGGTTGAGCCTGCATATTTTCCACGTCTCCCTGCCACAACGGTCGGGGGCGCTTGAAGCGCGCGGGTACGGGGAGCAATCCCCTTGCCCATAGCCCTGGCGAAAAAAAGAGAGTGCGTGCCATTTTGGCTCAAGGTGCCTACTTCGACCTCGCCGACAAAAACGTCCTCGCGAACTCAAAAGGGAGGTCGTGGGGGGGAAGGGCTCGTACTGTGCCCACGAGCCTGGAACCCTCCGCCCCTTCTCAAAGTAACTAGGAACCCGGGGGGGGGCGCCGAGACCCTGTGTCGACTTCACAGAGGAGGGGACTGCAAGACTCAGCTTGATTGCCTTCTGGTGTTGCCTACAGGTGTCCTGTGACCCGCTCCTCCCGAAGCCCTTGAAGAACTCAAACCCCTCTGCGACGCAGATTCTTGAGTACCTCGACACTGGACGGGGGAGCCCTTCACATACTGTACCAGTTCGTGATTGGCAGGGGCAGAATGGCAACTGCATACAATGGAGCAATTTGCAGACAATGCCGCCAGGGACGGTGGAGATGTGTCCCCGGGATTCGAAAAACCCATGTTAGAACAGATCCTTGTTGCCGGCTGCACGGGGAAACGGACCGCCAACCCACCAGAAAGGCCCGCAGCAGCGTGGGGGCCACTACTGAAAACTACGTGAAGTTTCGATGTCGGGGGATCCAGCCTTACGATGGAGAAGCATGGCGGGCCCTCATAGACGACTTTACCGAGCAGCGTTTTACATGGATAACGCGGCCCCTCTTGCAGACTAAGGGAGCCGCTGCTACCCACGTCGACGGGGAGATGGCCTTCTACGACACTCACCTTGAAAGAGAGTACAACGAAGTTGAGGCGGAGCAAGTGCAGCGAGAACTGGGGGAAGCCAAAGCGCAAAGGCAAATACGCCAAAAAGCTCGACAACTGCTGCGGTACTACCGCATCAGTGGGCGCCACCCACGGAAGCTCATCATGAATCTGGCCTACGACGAGCACTCAGTTGACGTGCTGCTGGAGGAGGCGAGGGACCGCTGAAAAACATACCCCAGAAGCCGGAGGTTCTGAAGCGGAGGAGGCGGAGCCACCTGATGCACTGCAGTTTTGGCACCTGTGCGGGGACAAGCCTCCGAAATCGCCCCACTTGGACCCGGAAGACGATGACAACGACCCGGACTTTTCTGCACGTAGGAGGCTCGCTCCCATCCTTTTGGGGAATGCGAAGCGAACCGACCCCAATAACGGACCTCAGAGTGCTGGGACATCATCGCGAAGTGTTCCAGGCCAAGAAGCAGGGGGAGAGCCTACCCTCGAGCAACAAGCCCCAGTGCCGCCTACATGGCCAGATGAGAGACAAAGGTCGAGGTTCCCACTGCCAAGGCGGGGGAATAGAGCGAAGCCACCACTGTCGCGGCAGAGACCTCCACCGGGGGAAACAAGCCAGACGTTCAGGCCCCCACCGGGGAAGGCAAGCCAACCGATGAGCTCAGACCCCAGAGTGTACGGGGGACGCACCAAGGAAGCGTGGAAGATCGAAAGCAAACTTCGATACCGTGCACAGCCCCGAAGAAAACGAGTGGGCACTACTTGAGCCACCACCGCCTGGCTGGAAAAGAGAGGACAATGACCGCAGCAGGGCACTCCACCCTACAATGGGCGTCTTCGATGACGAGGGAGAACATGGTCTGGAAGACGATGCCGATGCATGTGAGAACAGTGCACTGCCCGAGACAGGGGGGGACCCCATGCAGATGGACGGCCCAGCTGAGGAAGAAGAAACAAAAACAGAAGATGGGGAAAGTTCCCAGGCTCCTCCTCTACCGGCGGGACCACCGCCGAAACTCCGCGCACGACAACGCTCCCGCTCGCACGATCTACTACCACAAGGCGATGAGAAGGGCGCGTTCCCTGCAACCTGGATGCTTATGCCACCGATGCTGAGAAGTGGGCTGCTTATCGCCAGGCCGTGAAGGCCTCATACAGACAACACCGAAGACACCAGCGAGCAGAAGACAACTGGACCAAAGACCTGAATAGGGGGACCTAGCCTCCTCGTAGTCGATAAGTGTGGTGGCGCAATGTGGGGCGCTCCACCCCTGACTTTCCTGAGTGGGTCAGCCTTAGCTCCCTAGGTTGCTTTTCCGCGGGGAAACTCCCGAACTGAACTTTACACCCAAGACGCCAAAGTCTCATGTGCCTTTTGGTGTACCGGCATGCACGCTCGAGTCAAGTCGATCAACTGGACGTACTTTCTCCTTTCGTTTCCTTACTTGCAGAGGGGTTGACCCTCCGCCACGAAATTATATCCACAGTTCTTGACGGGCCGCAGGAGCCATCCATACCTACTGAGCCGTGCCCCCGCTCCGGGGCGACAGAGTATAACATACACCCTCTTTTACCAATTCGAACGCCAGTACACCATGCCCTTTGTGCAGCATATATGGGGGTCACCCGTGCGAGTAGCCTTTCTGTTCAGGTTCTTTTGACTTCGGTCGGTTCGAGGTTTGGGTCCTTGTTTGGGGGTTTCTCTCTGAAGGCTTACAACAAGGAAGACTCTGCCCATCGTGCACCGCTTGCCATAGTTTCAAGTGCACCCTGGCCGTGTAGTACATCTTCTTTCGCCGGCAAGTGTATGCTGTTGGATGCTGACATTACCCGGCCCGGATCCCAGGTCTGTAGGGGAGCACTTTTCTCTTCTTTCAGCTGATGTGATACCTAGGGGAGCATTCACCTTGCTTATCGGTCGTTGTGTTGTCGTACTACACTGTTTCCTGGTTCCTTTGCTTTACCGAAGAATGCTTTCCCTTCACGCCCAGTAGCCTTTGTTGTGTCTGAGCATTTTCCACGTCTCCTTCCACAACGGTCGGGAGCGCTTGAAGCGCGGGTAAGGGGTGCAATCCTCTTGCCCATAGCCCTGGCGAAAGAAAGAAAGAGAGAGAGAGAGAGAGAGAGAAGTACAAAGGCGTCCCAAAGTTGAGCTGACGAGTATATCGGGGGAGTGTGTTATTCAGCAACTAACTTGTTGTCAAGGATTCAGTCACTTAACCTACAGACTTCAATAGCTCCCGATACATACTCGAGACTTTCACTCCTCCCCAAAGCCTCATAACATATGGGGGGCCAATAGGCCGGGGGGTGTAACATGCCCTCCATGCCCTGGGGAAGAAGTACAATGACACAACGACCCCCGGTACGTGAACTGGTACGTACAGCGCCCTCCCCGAAAGCCCCAGAAACAAGGGGGGCCCTATGGGCCGAGGAGCTTCGCACGCTCCCTTAACCTGAAGGAAGAAGAGAAGAAGAAAGTAGCCATTTTGGCTCAAGTCAACCCGCCGCTCCCTTGTGGGGGCACTCGAGGACGGCCCTTTGGGTCTGCTGACTGTTCCCAGCAGATCCACTGACTGGGTGGACGTGCCTCTGAGTGGGGGGAGGCTTGAGCCCTCCGCCAGAGGCATTTCGCTTAAGTGGCCCTTGTCGTCCTTTTCCTCCCTCTGAACCCGACCGTGGCCCGCCAGTAAGGGGACGAGGCATACTATCACCTTGAGGAACCCAGAGGAAGCTTGCAGAACTACCGGTACTTGGTCCTCGACAATGGCGAGCAGTTCGAAGGAAGGCCCCGGACCAAATGGGGGGACAGCAGGTGGACCAAAGCCACCGAGAGATCCCACGACGAAGGCTGGTGGGGGAGAACAGTCTCTCGGTCCTGGCCGAGCTCCGCTTCTTCATAGCCGAACACCCATGGGAGGTAGCTCGACTGCTCAGCGACGCCAGAAAGCTCTACCCCGAGACCAAGACGGGGGACAACGAGGAGGGGGACATAGAGGCCAACCACAAGGCCAAGCGAAAAGGGGGAGCCAAGCGAAAGAGGGAAGATGCAGATGCTGAGAGCGGATAATATATTTGCACGCTTTGATACCTCTTCGGTGTGAACTATTTAAACAGCAAGAGCATCTTGCTTTCTCGGGTCAGCTTCAATCCATGGCCCAGCTTGGCCACATAATCCTTGAGTCTTTTCAACACGCCGTTCCGAACCTTTCCAATAGCAGAGGGGGAATTCGGGGGGAAACATCAAGGCCCAATTCAGTTCTTTCCCTTCAACGGCAAACCAAGGTACTCGCTCAATGCAGCGGGGGAGTGCACGCTTTTGCCTTGACACCCCATTTCTTTCCAAGCTCTCCTCCACCTGACTCCCACAGGCTTCCCTTAGTATTTCATATGCCCATGAGTACGCACTTCAGAGCTTTTGCAGTTTTTCTTTCAGGTGGGGGGAGCAAAACTCACTAGGCAGCAGGGCTGCCGGACACCCATTATGGCCATGATGCATGCAGGGGATCGTCTTTGTGAGTACGCATTAGGGGGAGCTGAGTTTGTTGCGACTTGTCTTGAACCCTTGCATCGGCCTGAGCCTCAGAGTGTTTTGCACAGTGTCTTTGTTGGTGCGGTCTTTCAAACTCTAAAGTACGACAATGGGGTGCATCCAGCAAACAACCCATGTATAGCCGAGCCACGGGGGGAAACCTCCCTTAGTGGAATTTCAAAACTTGCAATGAACTGCGGGTGCGCGTGCGCGCGCGGAGGGGGTAGCTGGACCGCTGCCTTCTCCTGGCCCGGTAGAGAGAGAGAAGAAGAAAGCAGTGCAGAAGGGATTGGGGCTGGGACGGGCCTGGAACTCCCAAGTGCCGAACCGCTCTAAAGTCTCACACCGACTAACAACACAGGACAGAGGCGTAGCGCGAGAGCGCAGGGGAAGGGGGCCGCCCCCGACCCCAAACGCCCGGCAAGCAAGCAATCAAGAGAGATACAAAGAGAGAGTGGGCCGCCGTTTAGACGAACAGCAGAGTGTCCTTCAGGGATGATCCGTCTAGAGCTCCACCGCCTCGACCCACACGACAACCGTTCCAGCCAAGCAGCCAGCTGCCACACACTCAGGCATGCCACGGAGACTTATGGCCATAATGCAGCTCAGCCCTGTCGCTTTGTGTGTCGAATATTGCTCGGCTCGGCGGAAGCTTGTGAAGTGTAGCGTCAGTGTGCGTGTGTCGACAATGATGTCGTTCGAGTATCAGGATCAATGAAGGCGTCTGCCGTGAAAGTTACGAAACCAGTATTTATCCGACTACGCCCGTGGGTTGTAAAGCAATGGCCATGGAGCCTGGGACAAAGCCCGGACCGGAGCAAGCGCATGAGTGGCCACTTGTCATTGTCACGAAACCGGATCATGTTTTTTTCGACAAAGAACCAGCGTCTCTCAGGCTTAGAAGCCGGCCGGGCACGGAGAAGGAAGCGGAAGTTCTGCAAGCAACACAAGGTGCAGTTTCAGGAAGTGGAAGTGTGGTTGCTGGTAACTGACGTCCTTTCAAGGCGACGGTGAAAGCCGGCCTTGAAGATGAGCAGCTTCGTCGGCACTGGAGTATGTACATTGAAAGAGTGCGACAACGTAGCTAAGGATTCGCAAAGACGTGTGTGCACATGTGTTTGAGTCTGATCCACTCGACCATGTCCGAGCCTTGCCGTCCCATCCGAGCCGGAGTCGGGCTGGGGATGCATGTCTCAGGCCGAAACAGAGCTGCGTGCATACCGCCATGCTACCTTGTCAGCAATGCCGTGTCGCACGAGCGGTCAGTCAGAAGATCGAAAGGCCTGATTTGCCAGGTTGTGCCCTTGTTGAAGCTGTTGGCAGAGCAGTTCGGTTTGCGGTCAAAGAAGCTTCAGATTTGGGACCCGTACTTTTGCATCTAGGCTTAACACAGCTCAACCTATAACAGTGTGTGCTTTCCGAGTGCGCGGTTGCTGTTTGAGCCCACTCACGAAGCAAGGTAAGGGGGCCGTGGTCAAGCATCTGGCACAGCTCGGTTTCACGAAGGTTCACAACGTGAACCAGGACTGCGTGTTGCTAAGCAGACAGCATTAAGACGTCTCGTAGCTTTTCATCTCCAGTAGCATGCGGCTCAGGATTTTTACGAAGTAATTCGGGAAGATCGGGTTCCCGAGCACCACGTCTTCATGACCAACCCACCCTACTCATCAGATCATTTGCCGCGGTGCCTGGAGTAGCTCGCATGCAAAGTGAGTTGATGCGCTTTGTTCAGCAGACTTTACACTCGTTCGAACGGCTGTTCGCCCACTTCAAACCCACGCAGTCTGTGGACAGTTCCCAGGTTCTGCAGCAATTTGAAGAAACCCTGCCTCCTGTTGCTGCCGAACTGGGTGGCGAAGAAGCCATACTTCTCCGAATTGCTCCGTGGCGCTTAGGTAAGACATGGCCTCGAAACTCAGAGATGACGTGCAACTAGCATTGGTCAGCTGCGCTTAGCAGTTTCTTTACTCTGTATGTTTGGGCCTTACCAGCTTCATGCAACGTCAAGGTTCGGGCGGATGGACAACATCTTCTACATATCTCCGCTGCGCAGACGCCTGCATTCAGTTGGCCTCATGCATTTTTCGAATGGGTATGTTAGACGCACAGCGAGAGCCACACTTGTCCAAGGATACAGCTATGTCATGCCCACCGATCTAGTAGGCTCGTGCAAGCCAGCTTGGGTGGGAGAGGATGGCCGCATTCTCAACTGCCCTTTCCAGAGCCCGCTGAGTAATAGTATACAATTGGCGTTGCTCACAAGACTTCTGGACTGCAGGCCAAACTACCCCCTTTCAGTCCTCGTGGCATCACGCTTGGTTGGACAAGCCTGCGCAAAGCAGCGAGTATCCGTGCCTGCCATTCTTGGTATTGGCATGTATTGGCGTTCCTGCTCAGGTATGTCATCTTGCCACCACCACTGAAACTGGGAGACATATATGATGCTTGACAACAGTTTCGTCTGGAGCAAAAATCATGTCTGTGGGGGTGAACGAATCCGTACTGCTTGTCGTTTGTCCAACCTATTGCAAGCCTTCGGGAAAAGTGTTGTGCTCTGTGGAAAGGCAAAGCTGCCAGCCATTGCTGGCCTTCATGCCGTGGTCGGTACTAGTCACTAGCCGCTCTAGCCATTACTAGTAAAAAGACCGCTTTCGGGGAAGCTTGGAGGAGTTTCCGCTTGCCTCGTCTGTTTCGAGCCTATCTGAGATGCGGCCTGGATGAGTTTTCATGGATTTCAACAAAATCCGCTTCGTGCATGCCCACCTCCTTCTTATGCGCTAGTTTTCTATATTAGCTCAAAGCACCGCGAAGCTTCTGAACGCAACATTCGGCGTCCTGACCTTCGGCACTGCTCCCCCGGTCCAGCTTCCCACCTTTTGGCATCTACATATACACTGCACCACATGCACTACAAACGTTTGGGTGCAGGTCGGGCTTTCTGCATCACAGATCACAATGTCTTTGGCAGTGAGTGAAGTCCAAAGGAATACTTGTTAAATTGAATGTTAGCTCTCAGTTGTCGATCCCAGTGATTCTCCGTGACTGTTTCTTGCCCTCAAACACTGTTTCAAGGATCGGCTGGAGTCTCAAATGAAACTCCCGAACCCGCCAGATTACATCTTGGCCAAGAATTTGCAGGTGCAGAATCTTTCTGACATTGAATTTGGAGCCTTGTGCGACTTGCGATGTGGCCTGGATATGGAGGCAGCCAAATGGAAGCTGAAGAAGGCTCACAAGCTGCAGACAGTTGGATCGTCCGAAGCACAGCAGCAGAGCAAGAAGCCTCGCTGGAAGCCCAGCATGCAGCTTTGCAGACTGCAGAAGATGTGCAAGCGCCGTCGTGCTGTTCTGTTTAGGCAAGCTGAAGAGTTCCGCGCACCCAACCGGCACTTGTGAACTGTCATGTTTGCAGCGACTGTAGTTTTTAAACATGGACTTTCCAATTGTATCTGTAGTTGAGATGCATTTTCTGGTGCCCTGAGGAACAAAGGACGGAAGTCTCGTGCAAGATCGATATCCGGGACGGTAGAGTTCGACTAGCACATGGCAGCGAGTTCGAGGTGCGTAGGTTCTGGATTTGCGCGCGCAATCAGTGTCGCTTTGCCCGTGCCAGGCGGATGCTCCTGGAACTGCATAGGTGACGCTGCGAGGAACGGCTGTTTGTCCAGCATTTCCCCACTGCCGGATGCTTCACAGCTGCTCGCTCCGTGACGGGTAAAGCGCAAGGAAAGCTTCACAACGCTTCTCTGAGTCGGAGGTGAAAAAACTGTCCGCTTTGCCAGTGCCGGCTGGGATAAGGGAGCGATGTGTCCCGCCAAGGCCGGTCAGGCAAGAAAGCAAGGTGCCAGTTCAGCCGCCGAGCTTTCAGTCAATTGGCTTCAGCGAGCAGGCACTCTGAACTGCTGCCTTGTCAGTGTTGCTTGTACCTGCACTGAACTAGCAGCTGGTACTGTAAGCTTCTTCTTTTCGAGTCGTTGGAACGAAGGCAGCAAGTGGGCGATCTCTCTGTCTGCATGGTCCCAGATTTATACACACCGCTTCCTATCGCTGTCATGATGCAGCTGATTTGACAAATCTTCTTTTTGAGCAGCTGCCATCTGTTGACGACCATACCGGAATGGACCCAAGTACATTGTTTAACTTTTTGTATGTGTATACATATATATATATTTGTGGATGTAGGTACATAAGAAGGTGGGTCGGTCGCTAGACAGGTCAGTATGTATGCATGTATGCATGTGCGTACGGAAGTAAGTAAGTGAGTAGGTAGGTAGGTAGGTAAGTAAGTAAGTAAGTAAGTTAGTTAGTTAGTTAGTTAGTTAGTTAGTTAGTTAGTTAGTTAGTTAGTAGGTAAGTAAGTAAGCAAGCAAGCATGCATGGATGTATGTATGTATGTATGTATGTATGTATGTATGTATGTATGAGTACATCCATGCATACATGTATGCGTGCATGCGTAAATATACATAAAAGCATGCATCTCCACCTGTACCCATATCTTTTTGTGTAGAGTGTAGAGTGTATGTGTGCACGCATGCGGTGTGTATATACAAGTAAGTACTGTACGCGCAGACACATATTGTCGAATTATCCAGGCCTGCAGGCCCCTGGTCCCCTGCCTGTGGTGTGGTTTCCCGCTCTAGTGCTCTTGTACAGGATCATATATACACACGTACTGACATAAGTTGTACATGTGCATAACTATTGACTTTACATGTGTGTATGCATACATATATATATATAATATAACATGTACGTAGGTGTTGGACACGTATGCAGACATGTAAGCATGCAAGAACATGCACGTATGCCACGATCGTGCGTAGAACGAGCTGCGGCTGAAGCTTCCTTTGATAGCAGCCCACGGCCAAGCAACTTCAAAGGCTCCCACGACCTGCCATTGAGCATCATGTGCAGGTTGCTGAGCTGCTGGAATTAATCACGTGCGTGGCCAAGCCGAGAATTGATTCGAAGTGTTTTAGTTCTCATCCAGGATGCAAGCGAGATTCTGCTGAGGCCATCGGAGGCGTCAGAGCGAGTGCACCCCTCGGCAAGTCGCATGGCATGTGCTGAATGGTCTTATTCGGCAAGTTTTTGGACCAGAGGTTGCCAAGGAACTAGCAGCCTACACAGAATCGCAGCTCGGCACAGAGTGGGCAGGTTGCGATAGCAGAGGCTTCTGAGCGGTGCCTGGCAGCCTTGACTCCACGGATCCAAGGATAATACAAGAAATGCTCCCCGGAGCCTCAGCCGGGACCGTAGACCTGTAGACTGTGGATACTACGGAAGCACTGCTGTATTCACTCTTTTCAGCCTCTTGTGAACCGAATGACTCCCTCCCTCCTTCCCTCCCTCCCTCCCTCCCTCCCTCCCTCGCTTGCTCCTTCACTCCCTCCACTTCCTCGCTCCCTCACTCCGTCACTCCCGCACTCCCTTCTCCCTCCCGCCCTCCCTCATTCACGCACTCAACTCGCTCCTTCGCTCCACAGGAGTTCATCGGCACGATGTCTAGGTGTGTGCCAGTCTGGTTACTTTGGCTTGCGCGTTTTTCTTGTTCTGCTGACTTCACAAATCCGGCGACATCCTTCCTGGCCTTCCTTGCCCTCGTCCTGGCCTCCCAGCAATTGTCATGTAGGCTTCAATCATGCACGTCTTTGTGTGTTTGCATCAAGACATGTCACGTTGAAGGCACGGAAGCGTTTTGAATTGTGAAGATAGATGATGTGACGAAGACTCCGATGAGCTTGTTGTCGCTCGAAAGCGGTCAAGTCTGAGGTAGAAGGGTTTGCAAACGCTGACATACTTCGTGGCACTGCCTTCGGGGTAGCTGCGGCGCGCTTAGTCTATGCTCCTTGGCTCACGCTCCGCAAGATGACGGCCCAAGGTGCCCGAGATTGACTTAGTTGTTATTGCCGACCCGGATTGCCTGGAGCGTCAATTGCAAGGCAGCTTCTCTGCTAGAGGAGCTACTTTGCTTGTCTGAATGTAGAGCTGAGTCATAGTGTGTTTTGAAGAGGTCGACTTGCCAAAGGAGGTGTTCACAAAACTCGCGAGAATCCTGGAGTGCTGCAGATGCGAGTGCGGTGGCATTCTCCACAATTTGCAATCTTGCAGACCGTGTCCGAGGTATGGATGCACGCAAAATGCAGAAGTCCGCCATACGGGCATGCGCGCTTCATAGATGTAGTGAAAGCGAAGCGTGTGATCATGTAAGCTGGCACAGACTGCAACCTCTAAAGGTACAGACCTTCTTGTAGCTGTCCGAGTCTCAGAAATCGCGATTTCAGGCACTGCTTGAACATACATGCTTCGGGGCTCGATGCTCAACACCGCTTGCAGGCAGGCGGCTTCAAGTTCCGTCGATCTGCTTTTCGTTGCGAGGAGCCGAAGGTGGAAATAGCTGTTCGCGAGAAAAGGAAAAACAGAGCCGAGCCGCGTCAGGTCACATTGATGGGACCGTCTACCATGAGTGCTCTTTGCTCAGCAACGTGACTTTCGAGCGAGGCGGTCGTAACTGCCATGACTCATGGATGTCCAGGTCTCCGGCCAAGGCATCCCAGTGGATTTTTCAGTAAACTGTGTCCAAACCCAAGCTTTGAGAGCCCCCATCCATGACTCTTGGTAGATTCGCTTCTTTGCTCAGGCTACGCCGGGCTGCCATGCAGCGCTGGTATGTGCGTGCGGAGCGTAGAAGCCTCATAGTCAGACCTTGCGGGCACGTTGCATTCACTCCAGCTGACTTGCCTTCTCCTTGCTGAGCCAAAGGATCGATGTTCGCTCGAGAGGGCTCATTCTTCTTGTCAGGCGAGGACAGAATCCTTGGATCTTCGGTAGCAAGGTCCATTCTTATCCGTTGTTTGATGGTGTTGCAGGCGTTGGTCCAAAGACCGCGGCGTGTGCTGCACCCAGACTTCAGACTGCAGGGCTGCGCAAGTGTCCAAGCTGGGTGTCGGGTGTTTTGGTCTGCGCTGCGAAGCTGTTTCGATTGACGTGCATATTAAATATAGGTGAGGGAGCATGACGACAAAGTGATGCAGAACATGACTAGAATGACTAGAAGGGGGGGCCTGGACGAGTTATGCATCCGCTCAAGTTTCACACCCCACCGATCGAAAAAGATCGAACACAATCAATGGCGCAGTATCTCTGTGACTTCGGCGAGGATTTTTGCTTTTGTTCACGTCATGAGTGCACTTGCGGCTGCTCCCTAACGTGATCCACGGTTTCTGCCATCGCCCAACTGCCAGTTTTTGTTGCAAGATCTCAGTATTGGCGGCCATCACTCTTCTGCTTTGGACGCTGGGATCATGTCGGCAAACGTCGCGACTATAGCGGCGCAATGCCGATGCATCCGGTGTTGGCGGGTAGGCAACACTCATGGCAGTGTGCAATTCCAAACAGCAAACCTGGTTGTGTCGCGCTGTGTTTGCAGTGAGCATGCTAGACATTCAGACAAGCCTTGCAGTGTTTCCATCTGTTGCACTAATCAGCCAATCAGCTTTTCGAACTGACAGCCAGTTGTCCAGCTACTGACAGTGTGGACACCGTGCAGATCTCACCGATCTCACCCTCAAACCGGGGGGGAGGCGGAGGCGTGCAAGAGTGGTCAGCGGGACGGGATGGCCAGAAATGCTCCAACCCCATACAGCTCATACACCCGCTTTGTTTGGGATTTAAACGGGCCCGGCTTGTTCGCTGTGCGCTGCAGGTGCCATGTAGCGCGCGGCCACCTTTCACCCTACGGCTGGACTCTGCTGGCCATTTTCTACTTGCAGGCAGGGTCTCCGGCTCCGGCCGTTCAGCCGTTCATTTGCTTCAAGTGCATGTGCCTCGTAACCCCTCCCCCCCGAAAGGATTCAGGCTTGAGAGTGGCTTGAGGGTTGAGGGGCTTCGGCAGGTCTTGTCAAGATGAATGCCTGAGCAGTCCAAGATTCCTATGGTATCCTTTGTTGAGAGACTTCAGGTTAGACTCGGTTAGACAGCACAGGTTGCAACGATGAAGTGTGGCAAACATATATTCAACCGAGGCGAAGGCAGCGATGCTTCCGCCGCTGAGCGCCACGATTCTCGCCGTATAGCCCTGCCGTTGAGATCCCGGATACCATGAATGGCTCGGTAAACAGCCTGCAACGGAGGAAAAACGGCAAAGACTATGAAGTGAAGCCTTTGGAGGCAATTTGGAAGCAAATGCAAAGATGTCAAAGGTCCATGCTTGAAAGTACCAAACAAGGACGAAGCAGTGGAGAGCACCATTGCACCAGGCCTCCTCCGGAGTGCGCTTGGGTTATCTTACTGCTCGTGGCTTGGCTGTCAGGTGAGTGCCCGGATTCACTCACTGTCGGCGACCTCTTCTCTGGATTTATAGGCAGGAATTGTGATCTCAGCAACCCTGAAGCATGCGATCACACCATCTACAGCCACGGGGAAGGCTTCTACGAGCGCGAGCTCAACTTGCAATTTGAGGCGGGGATGCTTTGGGGCTTTGCCGTGGTGCATCTATGCATGTGACTGCATATGGCGGCTGTTTGACTGACCAACGCCTACCTGAGGCTGTGTCGTTGCACCATGGCCGGAGGCAACCGTCTACACAGCCAGAGACTTCGATCAAAGTCCCTTCACGATCAGATTCAAACAGCTTCTGACCAAGGAAATCGGACGACGCTGAGACTGTGGATTTGGGCTTACGTATACAGGACTGCATCGGCTTGACGAACATCTCGCAGTACCCTTGAACATGTCTGGGTATGTCTGGATGTCAGAAGATTTTCTAGGACCCCTTCGATCCAGAGCGAAACTGCGGAGCCAGCATGAGCCAAGAGGCCGGATCTTTGCGAGAGCAAGACTCGATACTTGCCTACGTGATCCTACGAGCATTTTTTGCAGGGACTCCAGAGACTTCGGGAGGAGCTCGTCAGGGCTGACATCATTCTATCAGCCACAAAGCAGGCAGGGAAGAGTCTGCAAACCATGCTGGACACAGATCCGAGAACAAAGCTGTCCAGGCTAAGTGCACCCACTACTTGCATTGTTTGCTCGATTGGGATATATTCGGATGGAAGGCTTGTCGGAGTGGAGGGTAGTCATTTTGTGCAAATTCACGGCGACAGCGTGGGCATGAACAGGCCAGGAGGGGGTCTGCTTGATTCGTTTGCCGAAAGGGATATGCCCGGTTATGCGAAATTATCGTTCCTCTGGTAATCAGTATTATGCACTCGGAATAGCTCCGCGGCTACATGCCGGAGGCTTCTCTATCGGAAGTTCTTCAACCTTGGGTGCCTGCCTGAGTCACGACTTGCTGGATGAAGCAAAGCTTTCGACTTTCGTGTGCTTGGTATTCAGGCACCTCCCGAAAGGCACTCAGGCATGGTCGCCGAGGACATTTGTCCCTGTTGTTTGAGGTGAAGGGTAAAAGCTTTCACCAGGCAGGCTTAGGAGGGACTGTCCTCTGAATGCTTACTTGCCCCACTACCATGAGGGTGGCCGGATTCTTGAGCAGCTCCGTGCATTTTGGGGTTGCAACAGGAGGCAACAGGTCTCAGTAAATAGAAAGGGATGGCGATCATGAGTTGAGATGCAGCGCTGTACAAGTCGAGAAGATGTGGTGGAGAGGACGCTCCGGCCAGTTAGGGCCACTTCGGCGGCCCCAGGCCTGTAATGAGGCGCAGGTGCGTGTGACTTGTTCGAGGAAGTGCTGTTGAAGGTGCTACTGCGGCACTGTACAGTGTGGCCGCCGTCACAAGCACAGGTACTGGTTTGTTCCTGGCTGAGTGCCGCTTGCATGTCGTTGAATTGCTAGCTTACGTTTTCGTTCCGGTACACATCTTGCACATTCTTGGACTCTCTAGTCGCGCTACAGTTTCAAAATTGTCGGTTCTCAGCTGATGGTGCGGCTGTGCTGCCGGAAGGCTGCTGCCAGTACGACTGTTCTGTGCACTTGGGAGAGCTATCGTTCTCCATCAACTGTTTAAGCTGATAATGCTTGGACTCGGCAGATCAACGGGAGGGGCTCGCCTGCGTTTGTGGACATGTGCAAGGATGGGTCCACTGCATTTCACTGCACAGAGACTGCCACTCTGCAGCAGCTCGTCTGTGCAACATTTGACATGTGCAAGCTGGAAGAATGGATTGCAGAGAGTTCGAGCTGTGGACATCAAGGAGTCTTCACTGACCCGAGGCTAGACCAACCATAGAGCTGCGAAGCATTTCGAGGAAACTTCGTGTCATGTGAAAGCATTGGTTTTGCAAGCACGTTTCTCCTGCACTAGCGTGTGCGCTTCTGGAGTTGTCAAAGTTATCAATAGGGTGCGTCGTTAAAGACACATGTCGAAGAGTAGAGTGACTTTCAGCTTCAAGCCCGATGGCTGCAGATGGGACAAGCTGCAGCAGTCCCTTTCTCAGACTCTTTGCTGCGTTTCGGACTTCCTGTCAGTGAGACTGACATGTAAGGTGATGGTGCTTCTCGTGAGGCTGTTTGATTTTTAGACGGACCTGCTTTGTATGGTTCAGTTGCAGGCAGTGGCTGCGCTCTCCAAACAACTTGGTGCCAGCATGCTTCTTTTCAGGAAGCCTTTGCGCAGCAGCTTTCGATCCCTTAAAGTCATCTCGCGGCAGGTATTGAGATAGGTGCGGTGGAGCGCATCTTTCACGCAGGTCGGCACCATCCATGAAGTCTTGAAGCCTGCCCGGGCAGAGTGCAGGAATGTGCCATGCTGAAACGGCGCAGAAGCGGCGACGGATTGGAACGGAGCTCAGCAGCGCGCCATGATGTGATTGGAACATGTGCTGTTCAAATCCTTGCGAAAGCTGCATTTCCGCTTAGTGGTGTCATTGAAACACGAAATTAAAAACAGACATGATTAAGGCATTATTGACACCTCACCTCGGGACAACTCCAGGCAAATCGACGCTTGGTGAATGGTCGGGGGGTGGTTTTGAAACTTTCTGCCGGAGACGCTCTTGGCCAGTGTTCTCGGTAACTTCGAGCTGCACACGGGAGGTCTCCGCCCAACCGAAATCACCGACCTGTCTAGTCTAACAATGCCGGCATTGTCATCTGCCGTGAAGTGGTAGAATTATTTTGTTATTGTCCTTGTTATTATGATTTTGTACGTGGCTGCGAGTGCGTCCACATCGTGTTTCGCTGTTATGCTGGCATATGCTGACAATTGCTGACAGTTGTTTGAGGATCTGGAGGAATAGCTTAGTAAAAAGACGATCTGCATGTGACATCATTGAATGCTGGGTTGAGAGGCTTGCCAGCAACGTGCTACACAGCGCATGCTCGTGGAACTTGCACAGCCCCTGACATCCGAGCAATTCCAAGCAGGAAGTCGCAAAACGGAGGAGCATGAAGGTGCGGTGCGAAATGGGAAACTAGGCTCAGTTGGAAGCCACACAAATTGCAAGCCTGGGGTCTGCCGCTACCGCCCCAACAGGCCCCAAAAAGACACTCTTGGGTGACACTCCTTTCTGAACTTTTGCACAATGTTCTGTTGCTAGCCATCCGAATCTTGATGAGATTTCACGCGATGTTTGTTTCAAGTGCAGCACATGGTATCGTCTGTCTGTGCAACTGAGTCAGGCGAGCACACCAACTTCTCGAAAGAGGAACCGATCTCCACCGAGCCGGCGGCTCAGCAAGAATATAAGCAAAGTGTTACAGCTCTGTGAAAGCCATCTTGCTGCAGGTCGAACGAGGCGCTCACTGATCTTTGTCGTGTTTCGGGTCAAAGACTCATGGGCCTTATGGGCTGCACGTGCTAGAGATCGCCTTTCCCTACCTGACTGCATTCAATCAGCACTTCTTACATAAGGAGACGCTCGTCTCCCCTTCGAGTATTCCTCCTCTGCTGTTGAATCAGGCGGCAGCACAGACGAAGTTTAGCGAAGGCGCCACGACCACAGCTGTAGCCGGCTCTGCACAGGTTACTGTCGGGTCCCAGCACGCATTGCAGTCCACAGGCATTTCCTTTGAGCAGCTTCGACTGGAATTGGCAGACTTCGCTCGTCAGCGAGATTGGGACCTTCACTCAGATCCAGACCTGGTCGTCTCCATATGTAGATCGTGCTTATTCGTCAGACGTGACCAGCGTGGCCTTTCGGCCCATTGACGTCTTGGCTTTGTGAGTTTGCTGCCTCAGGATCAGTTTCACTCACCGAGAAATCTGGCTCTTGCTCTGGTGGGAGAGGCCATGTACAGGACATGGAGATTGATAATACTCGTATATACAAGAACACAGTCTGGCCACTTCAAGCACGTGCCGCATGCCCTCTGTGCCTGGTACCAGTTCTTCATGTGGGTCCGTCCTCGAGCGGCACGTGTTCGCAGTGCAGGTGGGCGAGCTTTGCGAATGCTTCCAGTGGAAGGGTGAGGCTGGCATCCTTTTTGAGTATAAACACACTGTTTATTGTTTGCAGAGCCAAAGTCTGAGTGTGAAGCGAGAAGTGATGCAAAAGTCTGGGTGTGAAGCATGGTAAGTGTGCGTTCTAGTGCATCGTTTAGCTGAGCACATCGACTAATCAACAAATCACCCACCCCTACCAGAGCAGGTCGCTGAAGGTCTACCGGGATGGAGCGAGAAGCACCGTACCGCTGTCCGCCAGGAGTTCGTGTTTGTTTTTTGTTCTTCATCAGCTTTGCAATGCGTGCGTGTGTGTGGGAATCTAAGGGTAAGTTCAAGCCGTGCGTCTTTGGACATAGGTTGTAGTTCAATGAATCAAACAGACGGGGGGTCTGTGCAGACATCCGGTAGAACTACTGAACTACCGGATCTGCACTGTGGAATGTCGTAGCTGTCGTAGCTTTGGATCCACTGATGCTTTGCCGAAAGCTTGTTGTATCCGTGTTCGATGGGAGATGATCGGTCTTCCGTCAGATGGTTCGTAGACTTCGAGACCTTTTTGCAGTTGGGTGATGGCTATGTCAGGGGTTCTGCAAGCGTGGGATCTGGCCTGGGCTTATGCAATTTCGGTGGGAATTAGGGCGGCAAAAAAACGCAGTGGGGCATGGCATGTGTGATGCTGCGCTCATGTTTGGGGTGCTTCTGGGCCCAATTCGGATCGCAGTGACGATGTTCAAGCATGTGCAAAGTCCGTTTTCGGCAGGTGGAGAAGGCGGCTCTATGGAGCAAAGAATTGGCTGTGCTTCAGATCTCGTGGGGGTACGCCTAGTGAATCTTGGTGCATCACTTTGAATCATGTCGCATGTTTCAGAAAAGCCAGCGAGCCTGCGATTCGTGTCAACAGAATTAGTATCGGCAGCAGTCCGCCATGCCCAAGCGTGGTTTGGGATGTGGATTGGAACGACATGACCATCAACGGGGGGGGTGCTGTGATCGCTAAGCGAAGACTGGTCGAGCAGAGTGTTCCCACTGTCAGTGAAAGCTTTTCAGATGCGCGAAAGTCGATTGTTCCTCCACCTCTGTAGACACGACTCTCTAGGACGGGGTGTTTCTACTGCTTTGGTCCTTGGAATGCCGCAATGGAGACAGCTTTGTACACGAATGTGCAACTGTCTGTGTGCAAGCACAGATGCCCTGGCTGCATTTCAAACCGGGCAATGGCACGCGTTACTGCTGTAGCATGATCAATGATCAACTCTGCCTAGCAACGCTCCGGCTAGGGATGCCCTGTGACCCCGCAGGAAATCGCCGATGTGCTGTTGTACTTGATTCGACTCAGCCACAAGGCATTGGGCGTAGGGGCGTAGGGCGGTGCAGCCGTTCAGAAGAGGTGGAAGAAACATGAAGAAGCACTGGAGTGAGACTCTTCGCCTTGGTCTCAGTGTCACGTCGACCTCCCGGCCGCAGCGCTGGACAAGCTGGCGGTGAACGATGCTTGCCGGCACTGAACTCTATATACTACAGGAGAGCACTGGCCACCATAGTGAACCAAGGCTGCCAAGTATCCTGCGGCCCTCGTCCGTGGTAGCTCGAGGACAGCCACATACATCCACCATGTGCTAATGCCAGATTCCTGCACCTTCAGGAAATATACTGAATACACGGTCGACGGTGGCAGCAGGTCTGATGCTCATCAAGATGAGTGTTGACATACGTGATGAATGCGGAAGTGCTTGTTGCACCGTGCGCCGTCACCTCTCGCGGCCATTTGTGCTTCTGAAAGCTGCTCGGAGCTTGCCAAGCAACTCCGTTTCTGCCGCGAATGGGTTTGGACAGTCGACGAAGTAAGAACTCGAGATTGCTCACGACGCGGGAACATCTGCGATGATTCTGCGGGCCATGTTCACCTCGTGGCGAAACGACACTCCATGCCTGGGGCCCCTCATAGGAAAGCCTGTGCCTCAGCCTTGGAGCTTCATGCAACCAGCGGTGAAACACCAGGGCATGGTTCAAGTGTGCGTCAAGCTGCTAAGCCGTGTGGGCAACGCCATAACTGCGGTACGCGATCAGGTTCTCCCAAAGGCAAGCGCAGGATCGGCCTCCTGGGAAGTGCTGTTGGACACAAGCTTCCGAGCTGTGTGTAAGGTTGGCCTGAGTTGCTTGTTCCCTGCCTGCAACGGCCAATCTGCCAAGTCTCCATTACACAGGGCTGCTCAAGCAAGGTCGGACTTCTATGTTGATTATTCAGCTTGGTCTCGACTCTCAGGTATGGTCATAAGCTTCACGCGCTGATCGCCGCATGCACTCGTTCAGGGCAGTGGCATCATGCCACAATCTCATTGAGGCTTGGCTGCAGCTGCTGCCAGTCAACAACACTGCCCAAAGCTGTGTCGCGAAGTGAAGCATTCTAGGGCCTGGATGCAGTCTCGAAACTTGAAGATCGACATCGTGATGTGCAGTGTCAGTCGCTCAGCGATTGCACACATTGCTTGATCTTCGATGCGGTGCGTTCTTTTTCTCATGTCATAGCTGTTGGACGCTGTTTCAGTCAGGCAATGATGAAGACCTCTTCTCGCATGCAGCGGTGGCAACGAGCAGCAAGCATTTTCCGCTACTTGGCAGCGATGGCAATGGTAACCGAGAGTGTGACCCTCTTGGAATGTTTTGTGCCTAGAGCAGCCGAGGCGACATGTGGGACAAGGGCATCTTACCAGATTCAATCAGCACCCTGGCGTACTTGGGCCACAACGCTTTGTCATGTAGCAACCGTTTTAAGTTCTTCAGGTAGTGGCATCCTCTTGAGTGCACACAAGCCACTTGGCCACAGTGTTGCGCGCTGTCTCGATGCATCGCATAGTGTGCATATCTCAGGATGGAATACAGCTGGAAGCAGTCGGCAGCCATTCTGTCCACGATGATCCGGGGGAGCTTTGGACGGGATCTGTTGCCGGCTAGCTGGTACGACTGTGTCGTGAGGCACTTTGCATCTTTGTTGCGAGGAATTTGCCAGCAAATCAAATTTGCTTGCATTCTGTCGCTATGTCCTCTGTGGCATCTGGACAGTGGCAAGCTGCGCTGACACTTAAACGAACTGTTGCTCAAAAGTCGCTGTCATCTGAGAGGGGGTGCAGGCACCACATGTCACTACATGTTAACTTCTTGCGGTTTTGGGTGCCGAGGCTGTGCTAACAGAAGTAGTCAGTCACACCGGACGTCTGGACCGTCTAGACCTGATTCAGTTTACCATTGTAGGCTCAAGCGGCTCTGAGGACCTTACTGGCTTCACCTTGCACAGGAATTTCCACAACAGATCAGATAAGTGGCTGTGCCGCACAAGCACAATCTGTTACGAAGCGAAACACAAAAAGCTTTTAGAGTCGATGTGATCGTTGTGGCTACAGGCTTCAACGGCCTGATCTTGTGCTGCGAGCGTGGTGGCTTGTGGATGTCGGCCATGTGGTTGTTGAGCCTCGGCATCGACCCAGATCGTTGCTCAAATCAAGCAATCCGGTGACACTGGCAGAGTACAGTTCTAAAGAAGCATTCAACCACAAAGACTCGGACAGGAGCAAGCTTGCTGCATGGAGACGCGAGCCAGACGAAGTCGGATCCACTTCTTGCATAAACGCCTGTGGGATGCTCGGCTTGCGGCCGTAGTGTCTGGTGTCCGTTCACTCAAGGCCAGTCCTGACTTTCAAGATGCGTCTGTCAGGTTTTTTTGCTTTCCTCCGCAGGTTCTGTGTCTCACCCACGCGCAGACTGACCGACTGACTGACTAACAGGACAGACAGAGGCAGACAGAGACAGGCAGAGGCAGGGGCAACCCTCGGTCGTAGCCCTGGCGAAAGAAAGAGAGAGAGAGAGAGAGAGAGAGGGAGTGAGAGCGAGAGTGTGTGTGTGTGTAGCTATTTTGGATCAAGCCGTGAGTGGTTCAAGGGTGGCCGGGCGGATCTGCCTC